TTGGACATGACTTGGGTGTTGCCATACATCAGTATCCTGATGAATCCTTGAGAAGTGACCAGGGAATCACTGTATTACTGAGTATCAGGCAAGCCAGTTCACATGCCATGGTGAAAAGGAGCTGGAACAACAGTAGGGTATTTCTCTATGGGTACATTATGGATCTTATACAGTTTGAATTCTTCACAGCATTGTTTTGGCCACAATTTCATTCATAATTAGTAGCAGAACTGGTGTTTTTGTATTGGGGTGGGAAGACATCTGCTGGTGACTTGAAAGGTCACAATTTTTTTATTTAAATGGAAGCCTTAATTAGGACCAAGTCCTTATTTAGGCACCTAGATCAGTAGTTTGATTTCCAAAGATTCTCTTTGCCTATTACCTCCCATTTACTTCCAAGAGACTTGTGAATGCTCAGCACTTCTGGAGAGCAGGCCATGTATTTCTATATGTGGACCGAGGAGTCCAATTTACCCATTTTTTAAAACCTTGCTGAAATGCAGAGGTTGGGTAGTACCCTTCTCAGTCTGAGCAGTTATTACTAGTGCTGGTTTGAATCCATTGACCTAACCTTCTCTAAAAGCTTTAGTCAGAATTCCAATTGAAAATATCGGATACGTTGTTAAAATAGTGTGTTGGGAATGTAACTTTCTGCCAGAGAATAGTTAAGCACACCGGTAACACTGTTGTGTAGGAAACATGCAAATGGAAAGCAGCAACAAAGCAGTGTGAAACTACACAGCAAAGTGAAACACAATGAGACAATAACCCCGTGAGCAAGCAAACATTTTCCTCTTTTATACGCTGCAAGGGAGAAGGTTTGCTTCTAGTGCTCATTGCAAACAAAGTCACAGCTGTTCCAGGGAAGCTGCTCCAGATGTGCACTCACGCAAAGTTGTATATGAGAAAATTACTCTGGTAGGAGAAAACAGCTATTTTAATAGGATTTTGTTCCATGACTTCATGACTTTTTTAGAATAACTCACTTGTTTTGAAAAATGCAGCCTCCAGAGCTCTCAGGCTGTCACAATCACCGACCCAGTGTTCCTCAGGGTGAGCTTCTCGCAGGTTTACAGCAACCTGAGTGCCGAGTGGCTGCACAGAAATGCAGGCTATGGAGCTGAGAGCTTTTAGAGCAGGTTGGGAATCTTTCAGCAGCCTTGTTTGGTAGCTCTTCATCTGTGAGAACAGCAGGGGGCTTGTCAGTCACTGAAGAGGCAGATCTGACTTCTTTGTTAAAGCCAGGGCTTAGCATATCCACCTAGCAATGAACTGGAAACCGCAAATGGGTTGGTTCCAGAAGGAATTCAAAGAGTGAGAAAGATAGGCCTTAAAAAGATGGTTTGTTTTAAGTAAGATACATCAATAAATGGCTGCCCAAAAATACATGGCAGGCTGGTGTATGAAGACAGAAAAGGCTACGTGTGTGTGACATGCAAACTGTTTTGCATCCTGTGGTAGAATGTGAAGGACTCAGACAAGCTCAGTTTGCTGACAACATCAAGAAGTTAAAATGGATAGATTACGCTGCAGTTGTGAGGGGAAAGGAAGTGTCTGAGGCTATGGAGGGAGTAGATGTGAATGAGATTGAACAATGTGGGAGAAATGAAGGGGAGCATACAAAGCCATTCAGCCTAGACAATGGTAATAAATATTCCACCCTTGGTGAGCTAGAGGACAAACAAGCTGAGAAAAGTGGCTACTGAAAACCCAAGACTGACAGTCAGCTGGATACAAGAGGCTGGGGACCCACTGCTGAGGGATGTGGCTCAGAATACCTGCATTTGTTTCAGATTTAGCTAAAAGAACAGTATATCACCTCTGGGGTGAAAAACAAGGCACGTGACAAAGAGCATCCTGAGAAATGCTGGGAAATTCTCACTAATTGTCCTTTATGTGGAAACACATATACAAATCATAAACTGGAGATCTTCTAGTTCCAACAGTAAAACTTCTTTGGAGTCTCTTTAAATTAAACATGACAATTTTCTAACACAAAAAAGTATTGCTGTCCTCATTCTGACTCAAAGATTAATTTATTACTGACATAGTTATCATGATCTGCCTGAAATATTTATGAGCAAAAATAATACAATCCCAACTAGTAATATGTATATATACTTAGCATTTTAAACGGGCCAGTTTCCAAAAGGTAAATTAATTATGAGCAAAACTGATTGGGAATAAAAAACTTAAATAGAAATGTATGCATTAAAATAGTTACTCATTTAAGAATGCTTTACTACATGTCCCAAAGTCCACAATTCTTCAGTCATGAGAAAAGACTGTTCAGTTAAAAAGCAAACAAAAACAAATACCCATAAAACCCTTCACTAGCTTAAGAAGGGATGTGAAACAGGAAAAAAAATGATGAATAAAAAAGGGGAAATTGATAATAATAAATATAAATTAAAGTTAAGAAATGCAGGTAATTGATAAGAGAAGCTAAAGGTATTACCAAAAAATCTATGGTCAATAGGGTTAGAATAATTTTACTTTATTTATGTCCAGTGATGTAGGTTTCATTACTAAATGGAGTGCTAAAATAGTCAGTAATGATGCAGAAAAGGCAGAAGCGTTCAATAAATATTTATGTCCTGCATTTGGAATAAAGTTGGATTATGTAGTTATTTATTTATATAATTATGGTGAAACACTTTCTGTTTCAACAGTAACTAAAACAAATGTTGCACAAAATCTGCAAAATCTGCAAAACTGATCATTTGCTTGCAAAAGTTTTAAAAGAGTTGGCTGAAGAGTTCTCCAAATTATTCATTTTAATTTGTACTAAATCTTGGAAACTGGAAGAAAGCCACTGTTGAGCTAATAGACAAAATTTTCAAATTTACCTGCAGTAAGACTTAGGTTCCTAAACGCCAGAGTCACTTTTGGAAATTGTACTGTTGAAAACATTCCCTACATTTTATTGATTTTTCCAGTGCCTGTCATCTAAAGTGCTCAGTAAAGGTAACAGAAGGACACATCACTAAAGCAGAAAACCAATGTAATAATAATCAAACCAAACAAGTGATGAGGATGGGGAGTGATCAGAGAAACAGCAGGAAAGGCAGGTCGTCACAATGTGATGTACCCATTAGAGCAGCGAGGCAAGTCAGACGAACTGGGTTCTAGTCTAGTCAGTGCTCAGAATGTGCAGTGGTATATCCCCAGGAAATAACATTTCTAAATAATGAGACAGGTGGCTGAGGGGCACACATTTTTAACACCATCTAGGGAAAACTCCTCTCTGATTGACTGTCTGGCCCCATTTGTCTGCCTCCTGGGGAAGAGCAGCCAATCACAGCTGCTGCAGGAAGCAGGCAATTCTCTCCCCCACCCCTCAGGAGTTGACACCTTTCTCACAGGCAAGGAAGGAGCAGAAAGCCCAACAACTCAGGGTAACAGGGAGATGATTCTGATCAGAGTGCTAAGCTGCAGTCCCAGCATGCCGGTGCACCAGCTTTGTAGGCATGATGGCAGAGGAGAGCTGTAAGGTGGCATTTGAAGGAGGACAATGTAAAGGCATTGCAGGTTTTTACAGGGTGCTCCTATGCATATTGGGTGGTGTGGGAGAAAGTGTGAAGGTATTTGCTGGGCTAAACAAGCCAAGCTCTTTTAATTTCCTCTAAAATCATCTTTCCATTCCCTTGATCATCCTAATAGCCCTTCTCCAAACCTGTTCCAGTTAACAATGTGATAATCAAGTGGCAGGACCAAAAGAGCCATAACCAAGATTTCTGCTGAATCTAAAAAAAGGATCTTGCAGTCCTGTGCAATGTCAAGAAGGGGTTAACTGCAAAGTTTAACAACAGGAATAATACTGGAGACAAGAAAAAACTGTAATTCAAAGATAATGTCAAACTTACATAGCTATATAACATCGAAGAGCTATAAATATCAAATGGCACTGGTGAGCATTCTGTCCCTAGTTCTGACAGTGAGAAACAGGAACAAATTCAGAGAAAAGCAACAAAATTGGACAAGGGGCTACATTATAAGGACAGGTTAAGGGCCTGATTTTCAAAAGTATTGGGCACCCTCAACTACACTGAAAGTCAGATAGATATGCACGTGCTTGGTGCCTTAGAAAATCTATTTGGCAGAGGAAAATATTTCGAAGAGTTTGCAGCCCCGATGAAGTCTTCTTCGGCTGAAGGTTCATATCCACAACTGGTCAATTCAGTCTGTAGTCTAGAAGTACTCTTGGATTCCTTGCTAATGTTGACCTCTCTCATCACAACAGCTGTGAGTAATCTCTGTCCCATCCTGGCAGATGAAAACCTAGCCTCAGTTATTTGTGCCTTCATCACTGCTGGACTACAACAATGTGATATACCTGGGCATGAAACCTTCAGCTGTTTGGAAACTCCAACTAGTGCAAAACACTGCAGTGTCTTCCCTTTGCAACACAGGCTATCGCGAGCCTGTCCTCCTGCTCTACACTGTGACCTTCCCATAGAATTTCAAATCAAGTTCATGGTCTTGGTCCTTATCTTCAAAGCACTGCATGGTCAGGGCCCTAAAAGACCATCTACAGCTCCAAGATGAAGCCCATGGTTAGCTACGCTCTTTTGGCACAGTGGAACACTCAACAAAAGAGTCAAGCTTATTTGTACAGGAGACAGAATTTTCTCTGGGGCCAGTCCAAGACTGTGGAATGAACTCCCCCAGGAAGTAATGACTATTATAACCTTACCACTTTCAAGCTCCAAGTGCAAGGCACATTACTTTGACCTTGCCTTCTCCAATATAAACATGTAGAGACAGGGATATTTAATAAATAAGATTTTTTTAAAAACTACCAAAACAAGACACTTCACTGCATGTTTCTCCTTCTGGGGGAGGATGCGAGAACAAACAACATGTGACAGATGTGTAGCTGCACTTGTTAATGCACTGCTGGAAAGAGCTCAGATACTAGTGATGAGTGCAGTATAAAAACCTATACAGAATAGAATAGAAGAGAATAGAATAGAATAGAATAGAATAGACCTGCTAACTATCTGCAGACATCTGATGGGTGTAAACACCAAGGAAAGCGAGAAAGGGATGGAGAGAAAGGGAGTGCATGGGCATCCAAAAGGCTACAAACTAGGAGTTATTTCGAGGAAATTAAACAAAGGCTAATTTAAACTTGGATCCATTTGGTTGGGAAATGACCTCCCAAAGGGAGTGTTAGAAGATCCTGCAGAAAGCAGAGACTGTAGGACATCACACTGTATAGGCAGGAATGGACTTGAAGATCAAATTTATTCCATGGTAGGTGTCCTCTTTTTGTCACTTAAGTCAACCAGACAATTAATGAGGTAGCTACAGCACAACCGAGTCCTTCCTGGTAAATAGATGGTGCAAGAGGTCCCTTTCAATCTTACTTTCTATTAGCCTCAAAGAGAAATGGAGATGATAGAGGGTCTATATGTCTCTGAGTGGGATTATAAAACAGGAAGGGCTTGAACAGGTGTCTTTCCTCTGTGGGGTTTTCTCCTAGTCTTTCGCCTTGTTTACTGCTTTGGGGAAAAGCCCGTACCTCCCTGCACTCAGACATACTACCATAGCAAGGTAGTTGTGCTAAAAAGTATTATACAAAATCAATGTACCCTGACAACACCCCTGTGAGGTAGGTAAGTATTATGAGCCCCTTATTATAAATGGAGGAACCAGAAAAGTTATGTGATATGCCCAAGGCCATCCAGCTGAGCAGTGGCAGTGCTGGGATCCATGTTCAGGAGCTCCTTGCTTCCAGCATCATAGTCAAATCACTAGTCTGCTTCCATGGCAGAGGCTTGCTGCATGGCTGTTCTTACATTCTACACAAAGAGAGTCATGCAATGGATGTAGTGCACAGTCACTGAAGAACAGAGTTCTCTCTGTACCAGGAAGCAAGAGCCTCGGTTTCTCCTGGCAGCAGCACATCCCTGGCAGCTGGAAACTTCTGACAGGAAGAACAGACATCTGGCTTCTTAACCCTGGAATGTTGGGAGCTTAAGGCATAGCACAATGGGAACTGATGTGATGATCAAATGTGACAGAGATACTCCCTACAGACAATAAATACAAGGTATCTGGTAGCAGAGCAACCTTTTTGTCGTCCTGTACCTCTTCTGACCCTTTACAGGACCCATTAGCCTGGTTAAACCAGCGAACCCATCACATATCACTAATCAGATCAGTCTATATTTCCATGTCCACAGGTCTGATATCTCCAGTTTTGTGTTCTTGTACCCACAGTTCCCTGTCTTTGGCAGGCTCCACTTTTTGAAGTAACTGATCGACAGGCTCTATTGTCTAAAAAGATCAGAATGAGAAGCAAATTATCAAAAGCACATATCAGAACACAGAGCAATTCCTGCTGCAACATCTCCTTGCAACTGTATTAGCTGTGTCACTGTCGCAGGAGTAACAGCCTCCTCTCAATTAGCTGGATCCATAAATGGGAGGTCAGACAAAATACAGGCTTTGCAAGAGGAATCATACCATTGGTGAGGCAAGTCCAGTGTATGCTGCATCCAATTCCTGGTGTGACAGTAGGGTTGCCAACTTTGTAATCACACAAAACCGAACATCCTAGCCCCGCCCCTTCCACGAGGCCATGCCCCCTTTCCTCGAGGCTCTGCCCTCTGCTGACTACATTTCCCCTCCCTCGGTGGCTTGCTCTCCCCCATCCTCACTCATTTTCACTGGGCTGGGGTGTGTGTGGGGGGGTGAGGGCTCTAACTGGGGCTGTGGGCTCCAGAGTGGGGCCAGAAATGAGGGGTTCAGGGTGCGGGGAAGGCTCTGGGCTGGGGGTTGGGGTGCAGGAGGGGGTGAGGGCTCTGTCTGGGGGTGCAGGCTCTGGGATGGGGCTGTGTATGAGGGGTTTGGGGTGCAGGAGGGGGGTCCAGAGGGGTTTCCGGGTTTGGGGGAGACTCAGGGCTGGGGTAGGGGGTTGGGCCTCGGGGTTGGGGAGAACAAAGTTAGTGGAGAAAAAACCTGCCAATTAAAAAAAATCAAACCATTGCTTGAAGACCTCTAGATCTTCATGTGTTTGGGGCAGGAACTTGGCATTTTCAGGGGGATAGTCGTAGGGTCAAAAAAAATGTCTTACACTGTCCCCCCCTCAAAATCTGTCTCAATTTAGCCAAGTTCTAAAATGTGGAAAATCACCATTTGCAGCTGAACTTGTTCAATGACTGCTCAATCTTGTCACATTGTATTGTTTTGGAATGATTGCATGGAACTGTGTTTCCATATGGGTTTCAGGCAAAATCCCTGCTCCTGCAAATCAAAACACGCCTTGGTCTATGGCAGGAGCACCTCCTCTCTGTACTGAATGGGGAGTTAAGAATTATTTCCCATATTTTACAGACAGGATAACTAAAGACTAGAACAGTTGCTTCTGGGACAGCTTGGAATAGAACCCCAATTCTTGACCTATACTTCTCACAAAGGAAGTTCCACATCTATGTGTTTCATCTTCCTTTCTGTAAAATTCTCTTCTTTGTTTACCATTACAAACTCACTGATAAATGTATGCATCATTTTATACAACAGAACACAGGAATCCTAATTCCCAATCGGCTGATCTAACTACTAGATCACACTTCCCTCCAAGAGCTAGAAATAATTGATTGATAGCATTCTGCTCCTTAGCAAATAGTTGCACATGTGTTGATCCATTTTTCTTAAAACACGTGACCAGCCCACTCCTCCTTCCCCTTCCAGGGAATTCCATATAAAAATTACATTAAAAGAATTGTCAAACAGTTGTAAAATGAAGGACTCCAATCCCAGAATTAAGACTGGCTGTGCAACCTTAATTTGGCCCCTTGTGTGTTTGCATTATGGAAAAGTATTTAATTGCATGATCATGTACTATTATTTTCACAGGATACCTGCCTCATATGGTGCACGGGATGGATGTTAAGAGGCAGGGCTGTGTAGTGAATGAGGCTGTCCATAGCAGAAGATAGAAAGGATGCAGTGACTGTGGTAGTGAATTGCAGAAGGGGAAAACAGGAACTTGTGTTTAAAGCGGTCTTCCTGGGATTTGTGAAATCTGGGTTCTTTCCTCGGCTCTGCAACAGAGTTCCTATGTGATATTAGGCAAACTACTTAAAATGAAAATTTTCAGAAGTGGCCACTAATTATGTGTTCCTATTTTGTGGGTGACCAGCCTGAGACATCTGAGGCCTGATGTGCACTAGTGCTGAGCACTTGCAACTGCAACTGAATTCAATAGCTCAACAACTCAGAAAAATCGATCACCCAATCACTGTGGCACCCAAAATTATTGGGGACTTTTGCAGTTTGAGTTTAATTTCTCTGTGCCTCCTGTCCCCATTCATAAAATGGGGCTACTAATACTTCCCTGCCTGTGAGGTGTTGTAAAGGTAAATTCATTAATGTTTGTGAGATTGAGATGCTATGGTGATGAGCACCACAGAAAGACCCATGAAGAAATAAAAACTGAGTGTAATGTTTAGATGGTTTGTAGTAACTGAGGCACATGTTGAATACTGAGGATAAACTACATGATCATGCTGTGAATAAAATATGTGGTCATGTAATTAGAGAGTACCATAATGCATATGCACAAGGATCCAAATTAAGGTTGCACAGGCAGCTGTTACTCTGGTATTTCCTAACTTTTAGATGCTTGACTTTTCAACCATAACAACATTCTTTTAACATATTTTCTTTTGAATATTATCATCATGGGGTGACTGGCCCTTTAAGGAGAGTCACTGCCCAGTTTGCCCAGTGACTGCCTTCTGAAGGTCTATCTGGGAGTAATTCACTGTCTTAGGTGGCTGCTTAGTGGTTAATTAGTAAACAAGCACCTGGAGCTAATAAAAAAGGCTACCTGAGTTTGGTTGGGGAAGCTGCTCTCAGAGAGAGGGGCTCCTGGAGAGAGGAGCAGTCCCAGAGAAAAGGTTCTCCCAGGGAAGGGACAGGAGCAGCCCAGGAGAATGAACTGGGCATGGGATCTCTTGGGGAGCCACTAGGGACTTACTCAGCAAAGAGCAGCATGGTCGGGGAAGAGTGGCAGCCAGCAGAATGCCCCGCAGAGGCCCACGCCCCAGGCAAGGAATTCAGCATGCGAGTGCTCCATGGCTAAAGGCCAGGATGTAAGACTAGTTACACCCAGAGGCAGAGGGTTTCCAGTGGAAGAGCTGACTGAAGATTTTGCTTATGCTTTGTGTGGTTCTTTTCTATTTCATAAAAGAGACCCGCCGAAGAAGGTGCTCTTTGGTTCCCAAATGCCTGCTTGCACTTGTTTATTGCCTGGGTAAGGGGAAACCAAGGCAGGGCTCACCCATGGCACCAGTCCTGCGCGCAGCGGAGAGCGCTGGGACAACCTGCACTATGACAATTATCAATATATGTTATGATGTATATGGCTATGATTGTATGATTTCTGTAATGTGAATATATAGCCCAAAATATATCACAATATACTGAATACCACGCACATCAGAATCCATACCACATATGCAAGTATTTGAAAAGGTGCCAGTTTTACTAGATTTTACATTTTCATTTTGAAATAATGGTTGCTGTGATTGCCATCTTTCTTGCAACAATGAAGGACTGTGTGGAGCTGTGTGCTGTTGGGAGAGTGAGAAGCATCTATCTAGGAGAGGTGTAAATTAAAGTAAGGGGCTGCTTTGCCTTATGCCTTCCTGTCAAGCACTTCTGAGCCACACCCTGCACCACAGGGCTTTCACGATGAAACATTCCAGTGGACGTGCCCCTTCTGACCCACTTCTCTGTTCTTCCATTTGTCTCGCCCCCAGGCTCTGGATGTCTCTGGAGATACATGGTAGGTGCACAACCACAGACTCCCAAACTGGCACAACTTACATCTCAGTCTCCATTAGACAGTGGAATTTAGCACACTGTATACACAACCAGGCTGGAGTTAGGCAGAGCCTCACTACAGCTCTTGGACCAAAGGGACCTAAACAAAGAGTAGACTCACGCTTTGGTTGAACATGTCTGTCTCGTGCCGCAGCTGTGTGTACTGACAAAGGTGCTGCCGAATCATTTCCACCCGCTCCACCTCCAGCCTTTCCAGCTCCTGTGAGAGAAAAATAGGCCCATATCTTGATCAGTGGCAGTCCCAGCGTAGGGTTTGCTAATGGTCAAAGTTCCCACCACTGGCGACAGCTGGGGCAGCTGCCCCAGGTCTGGGCTTCAGAGCCGGGCTGTGTGCACAGTGTCTCAGTAAGTACACTTAGTGCAGGAGCAGGAGCAGGAGCAGCAACAGCAGGTCTGGCCTGTGTCCAGTGCAGCTGGTGGGGGAACCAGCAAGGAACCAGTGCAGCAGGGAAGGAGACTTGTGCAGTTCCTCGACAATGCTGAACCTTGCCGAAGGTGAGAGTCCTTGGAGATGAGGAAAGGCAGGAACTACAGGATCTGTGGAGGGCTGCTGCCTCTGGAGGCAGGGGCAGGACAGGGACAAGGAGGCCCTGTTTCCTGGCTGCAGCTCTGCTTACTGTGCTGCTAGATTCAGAAGTTACCCTGGAAGCACTGCTCTGGAGGCCTGGCAACATGGGTTATGCCCAGAGAGCTCATTCACCGGGGAAATGGCTATGTGTACAATAGCTTCCCATAACTCAGCCAGCCAGGAGTGGCCAGGAATGGACACAATCGAGATTTTAGTTGACTGTTAGTTCGGGGCCTATCCTTTTCTGCCCCCACTGAGGGTCAGCCGAGCCTCAGGCCACTGTGTTTCTTGGATTCTGATGATGTATCCAAGCCCCCTGAACGTGGTCCCTGCTTGCTTTTAGATGCTGCTGGGAGAGTTTGGCCTGTCAGACCTGTCAGGCCTTTAGACCAAGGAAAAAACATTCCTAGCAGCACCATCACATGCCTGCCAGGTTGGTTAACATAACATAAGAACGGCCGTACCGGGTCAGACCAAAGGTCCATCTAGCCCAGTATCCTGTCTACTGACAGTGGCCAATGCCAGGTGCCCCAGAGGGAGTGGACCAACAGGCAATGATCAAGTGATCTCTCTCCTGCCATCCATCTCCATCCTCTGACAAACAGAGGCTAGGGACACCATTCCTTACCCATCCTGGCTAATAGCCATTAATGGACTTAACCACCATGAATTTATCCAGTTCTCTTTTAAACGCTGTTATAGTCCTAGCCTTCACAACCTCCTCAGGTAAGGAGTTCCACAAGTTGACTGTGCGCTGCGTGAAGAAGAACTTCCTTGTATTTGTTTTAAACCTGCTGCCTATTAATTTCATTTGGTGACCCCTAGTTCTTGTATTATGGGAATAAGTAAACAACTTTTCCTTATCCACTTTCTCCACATCACTCATGATTTTATATACCTCTATCATATCCCCCCTTAGTCTCCTCTTTTCCAAGCTGAAGAGTCCTAGCCTCTTTAATGTCTCCTCATATGGGACCCATTCCAAACCCCTAATCATTTTAGTTGCCCTTTCTGAACCTTTTCTAGTGCCAGTATATCTTTTTTTAGATGAGGAGACCACATCTGTACGCAGTATGTTCTTATGTTAATTTGAAAGTAGTGTCTGTTTGTCCACACATGCGCCCTTGCTCCACCTCATGGTTTCATCCAAGGCGATAAAGGGCGAGGTGGACTGACCACGCCCTCAGTTCCTTCTCACCACCCCCCACGGTCCAAGTTGGTGCTGCTAGTGTCCCCTCATTTCTCACTGACACACTTTTGGGTACGGCTTGGGAAGGACAGGCAGACAAGCACTAGAGACAGAGTTGGCACTTGTTGTTGACCAAGAATGAATGAAGGCAGGATGCGCAGATCTAAAACCCTGGCATCTTCGGAATAATTCAGTACCCATTCGCGGGTGCTGGGTGGGGAGGGGGGGGACTGGTGAAAAAACGGATCCCCAAAGTCTCTTAATTCCCCAAATTAACACTAAAACTCACTAGAACTACAAGTAAAAATAACAAGAACATAAGAACATACTGGTTGGCTGACTCCCCAATCCTGTTCTGTCAGGAAGAAAGCTCTGTCTCCTACAATGACATGCAAAGGAGCAAACTTCTGCCTTCCATCATGAGAAACCATATTCACGGGGCATTTCTGGTGGCCACTTACTGAGAAGCACAGTGGAATGCAGTTTGGGGATAGGGGAGCAGGTGCACTAATGCTAGCAAGTTTCTTCATGTACCTTTTATATGCTGTCTCTTTGTTAAATACCTTTCCAGAGAAAGAACTTCCAATGCCACCCAAAACTCCCAGATGAGCAAGAGATACATCATCCTGTCATAGACTCATAGAAGATTAGGGTTGGAAGAGACCTCAGGAGGTCATCTAGTCCAATCCCCTGCTCAAAGCAGGACCAACCCCAATTAAATCATCCCAGCCAGGGCTTTGTCAAGACAGGCCTTAAAAACCTCTAAGAATGGAAATGCCACCACCTCCCTAGGTAACCCATTCCAGAGCTTCACCACCCTCCTAGTGAAATAGTGTTTCCTAATATCCAACCTAGACCTGCCCCACTGCAACTTGAGACCATTGCTCCTTGTTCTGTCATCACTGAGAACAGCCTAGCTCCATCCTCTTTGGAACCTCCCTTCAGGTAGTTGATATGCTCCAAAGCTGGAACTGGAGCCAGAATGGAGGGCTGTTTTGGAATCGATGGTTGCCTTGATTTAGGGGGTGCCAACTTGGAAGGTGTGCGTGGTTTGTGGTTGGTACCAATGGATCTGCCAACCTGTGCAAATTTTTATCATGCTTTTGTGCATTGGAACATGCCACTTCTCCATGGGTGGAACTCATGGGCATCGCCCTTCTTGGGCCTGGAAGAAAACTTACTGCCATGCTTATGAGCATGCTTCCTTCCCTCCCAACTAGGCACCGGTATGGGGTCCATAGTACTGGTACTGGCTGAACTAGACTCGATCTCCGTGGTGGAGGCGCGCTCCTGGGTTTCTCAGACCGATGTACAGCGGGGTTCCCCAGCCTGGATCCAACTGAGGCCTCACGGACACCTCCACAAAGTGCTTCTTGAGGCGGAGAGCACAGCCCTCTTGGGTACGGCTTGGGAAGGACAGGCAGATACTGCACCTGGATGAACTGTAGGCTTCTCCCAAGCACTAGAGACAGAGTTGGCACTTGTTGTTGACCAAGAATGAATGAAGGCAGGATGCGCAGATCTTGAACCCTGGCATCTTCGGAATAATTCAGCACCCATTCGTGGGTGCTGGGTGGGGAGGGGGGGACTAGTGAAAAAATGGATCCCCAAAGTCTCTTAATTCCCCAAATTAACACTAAAACCACTAGAACTACAAGTAAAAACAACAAGAAAAACTATGCACAATTCTAAATTTTTTTTTAAATGTGTCAGTGAGAGATGAGGAGACACTAGCAGCTCCAACTTGGACCGTGGGGGGTGGTGAAAAGGAACTGAGGGCGTGGTCAGTCCACCTCGCCCTTTATCGCCTTGGATGAAACCATGAGGTGGAGCAAGGGCGCATGTGTGGACCAACAGACACTACTTTCAAATTCTTTGGCTCTGGACACATGTGCATGTGTAAACCCTCAGTGGAATACAATAGGGACCATCACTCGAAAAGGAACCAAACAATTCTTTGTGAGGAGGATCATGTGACTGATTTGCATGTGGATAAGGACACCTCTGCGCAGGAGCTGAAGGTATAATTTCCAGCTTGGACAGAAATACCCATAGTGGCTTTGATTGAGCTAGTGCACTATAAAGAGTGGTGTAGATGCAGTGGCACGGGCAGTGGGACCGGCTAGCCACCCCACATACAATTCCGCCCAGGGCCTAGGTGCAGCTAGCCCATCTTGCTGCTTGAGCAGTGGTGACTACACGTCTATTTTTAGTATGCTAGGTCAATCAAAAGTAGTGTAGGTACATCTATCCAAGCTGGAAATTACATCTCCAGCTGCCATGTAGGCACGCCCTTAGACAGAAACTTCCCTGAGGACATTAAATAAAGAAAATTAAAAAAAAAATCAAAATCTGAGTATGGGTTTCATGTGGAACTGAACTGCATTTCAGTCAAGAGTCTTTATGTGTATGAAGATACAGCCTTATGGGGACATTTCTCAACCTACTTTGATTTAAAACAAATCTTTCATGTTGCTTGTTGGGCAGTGGCCTCAGTCTGCTGCTGCAGGACTGTGAGCTCTAACAACTCCCCAGGAGTGAGAATCCTGCTCATTTACACCAGTGCATAGCAAGAGTCATTGCGCCGTGGATGTCAATGGATTTGCCCCAGTGTAAATGAGAGACGAATCAATCCAGCCCCACAGTAGGAGAGACAGAGAATTACTTACTGTCCGTCAATCTGCTTCTCTGAAGAGATCATCTCTCAGGATTTTCACTCACCCACCTGTCCCCCCTGGGAGTTAGTGAGCTTTGAGTGTTGAATGCTGGGTCTGCCCACTGGGCACTCAGTTCTGAATTGCCCAGATCATTCTTTTGTATTTGTTTGAAGGGAAAAAATGGTTAGCTTTTTAATTGCCTGTCAGGCGAGCTCCTAGTTCTCATTCTTGAAAGGAACCGGCTGCAAACTTTAAAGCCCCTGAGGTACCGCTGTTTGGAGCATGCCCATAGGGAGCATGTGAGGTGGATTGGAGAAGAGCCCTGGAGCCCACGTACAGGTGCTTCAGAAGGCCTTAAATTACTCCTGGGAGAATTATGCACCACAGCGCAATGCAGAATTTTGCAGAAATTAACATGGTGTGCACAGAATTTCCTTTCCCCCACAGAAATGGGCTGCAGAGCTGCTAGCCACCACTAGGGGCCGCTGGACCCAGCAGAGCCCAGCTCGCACATAGAAGACACTGCTGAGGAGCTAGAGGGTTCCCAGCATGCCCTGAGGGAAGGAGAGGGTGGCACACAGGAAACTCCATGCAAGCCTGGGACGAAGCATCAGGCTTTTTCTCCTTCTGGATCCCTGGGCTCTGGAGGGGGCTTGCAGATATCTAGGTTGGGGCCCCAGCCGGTGGCTGGGCTCGGGGTGTGTGTGTGGGTATCTGGGCCGGGGGCCCCCGGGGCTGGGCTCTGGGGCAGGGAGGGGTTGTGGGTGTTTGGTCCCCTGGCTGGGCTCTGAGGGGGGGAAAGGAGGCAAAGAAACAGGAACTGGGTTGTCATAGGGGTTTCTTTAACTCTCTACTCCTGGGGGAATTTTTGTGTGTCTCTGTACTGTTACAGACCTACTTGCTGACAGGAATTTTGAAATAAATGACCAAAATAATTGAAACTGGTATGATTATGTAGTGTTATTTTGACAAATAAAATTTGCAGAATTTTGCAGAATTTTAAAATATTAGGTGCAGAACGCCCCCCAGGAGTACTAAATACATAAATGCCAGGACGTTCCCCACATGAGTAACCCTGGAAGTATGAGCCCCAAGAGTGAGAGATCTGTGATGTGATGCCTTTAGAGAAGCAGAATTACCAGCAATTATCTCACACTATGTGCTGGGGATACTTATGTGCTAAATTGCAAAACCATGGGATAAAAAATGATTGCAAACTTTACTAATTTATAAATGTATTCACAATTTAACATGCATCTTTTACTGCTCTGCCCTCTTCCCACTACCCCACTTTTCCTGGCCTACTGCCACCATTCCTAACACCCAAGCAGCTTCAAACTACTGCTCCTTTACACTCAGACTGCGAGGAAAATGTTTTCTTTTTTCCTCCCCAAATGACACTATGCTTGATTTATTGGATGAGCAATATAGTGGCAGGTTAAAGTCTGTTATCTCTTCTGTGGCTGTAAATGGAGGATACTAGGGTGATCAACATGATAGATTATCTTGAAGGGCTTTCATCACAAGGAGAAATAAAAAAAGAGCAGTATTAGAAACACAAAATGCTACACACTGATACATACCAGAGTGCTGGTCACCATTTCTTCAAACCACTTGGATTGGGCTTGATTATAAAGATCCACACAACGCATCAGGTCATCTCCTGCAAAGATCAAGATATCAGTACGTCATCCTCCTAGTCCTCATAAAGGAATGGAGTGGGAAGTGACAGGTTACTTTTCATTTATAGTCATACATTTGAAGGCCAGAATTGACCATTAGATCTTCTAGTTTGACCCCCTGCACAGAACAGCCATAATTTCCGGTTGAACTAGAGCACATCTGTATTAGATTTGTTATGTGCAAACAGAAAACTATCTCACCATATACTCAGTGCTAGAAAAGGGCCAGTTCGCCAGTTTTCCAAAGCTGAAAACATTTATTAGCAAAACTAATTGGGTGGGTGTGTGGGGGGAGGGATTTACACATAAAAATGTGAACGATAATTGGGACTCCTTTAAAAACTTTTTACTAGGTGCCCAAAAAGCCACAATTCTGCAGTCATGAAAGAAGGCAACTTCAGTTCAAAATACATCCTGGTTCAGATGAAAAGTGAAAGCAGCAATAAAAAGTTTAAAACAACAACTTATGACAAACTGAAACTAGGAGAATTTGAAAACAATGAATTCTGGACTCGCCTGGTAGCAACTCCACAGTTAAGACAGCATTTGAAAATGGGTTTAACATGGGGTATAATCCCTATTTTGTGCTGAAACTAGATGGCCATGGAGTTTTAAAAATATATCAGGAAGAAACGGTTACTTACTGTAATTGTGGTTCTTCGAGATGTGATGCAGCCATGTATTCCACTCAGGTGTTTGCACGCCCAGAGCACCTGAAGCCAAAGAATTTTACCTAACAATACCTGTAGAAGGGTGGCATTCGTGCCTGATGGCCATAACCCGTCCCCTTGGCATATGAGGCGGTACCGATCTGACCCCCTTCAGTTCCTTCACACCGAATGCCCAGAGATGAGACTCTGATGCAGAGGGGGTGGAGGGTGGGTCGTGGAATACGTCTGCATCACATTTCGAAGAAATACAATTATAGTAAGTAACCGTTTCTCCTTCTTTGAGTAGGTGCAGCTGTGTATTTTATTTAGGTGACTCACAAACAGTACCCCCAGGGGTGGGGCTCAGAGTCTATTTAAACAGACTGCAGGACCACCTTCCCAAATTTTGCATCTACTCTGGATGCCACAGTAATGGCATAATGGTTTGTAAATATATATCTGTATCAACAACTATGCAGCAGTCCTGTAAATATCCAATATTCAGATGTCACTTAAGAATGCTAGTGATGTAGCCTGTGCTCTCGCAGAATGGGCTTGGACCTGTTGAGGGGGCATAGCTGAAGCTGTTTCATAGGCAGTCTTGATGCAGGGAGTTATCCACTTAGAGTTTGTCTGAGAAGAGATTGCCTGTCCTTTCATACGGTCTGTATCCGACACAAACAGATGAGGTGAAGCATGGAAGAGTTTAGTCCTGTCCAGGTGGAAGGTCAGACATCTTCTGACATGTAATGTGTGAAGGCGCTGCTCCTCTGGTTATGAATGTGGCTTAGAAAAAAACACAGGCAACTATACCACGTTGTTCAAATGAAATTGAGATCACTCTGGTTAAAAACTTTGAGTGTGGTCATAAAGTTACCATGTCAGTGGAGATGTGTGAGAATTCCGCACACACTCTCCTTGCAGATGTAATGGCTATCAGGAATGTGGTTTTCTGAGACAAAAAGGGCAGTGGACAGGATGCCAGGGGCTTGAATGGAAGGCTCAGAAAGAGCTGCCAGACCCATGTTTAGGTTCCACAAGGGAACAGGCTCTAGGACTGGAGAACGTAATTGGAGAAGTCCTTTTACAAATCTCGTCACCATGGCATTGGAAAAAAATGATTTTCCCTGAATAGGGGAGTTGGGAGGATGAAACTCTGATACTGCTGCCAGAGGCACTCTCAGTGAACTGAGCACAAGGCCCAATTTCTGAAGATGTAGCAGGTACTCAAAGTTGTCCTGGATAGAAGACTACATCAGTTACATCCCGCAGGCCAATCTTCTTCATCCAATCATGCAGCAACCATGCCGTAAGGTGCAAGGAGCTGAGCACAAGATGGAGGGTGCGGCTCTGGTTCTGAGTGGGCAGGTTGGGATAGGGAGGAAGGGTACGGGAGGTTGAACCAATAGCACACCTAAGTGGAATATACGTCTGCATCTACTTGAAGAAGAACTTAGGGTCTAACCTGGCCTGCAGAGTGTGCTCACTTGTGAGAAGGTCACCACATATTGAGTTGGCAGGCCTGGAAGTTCAAGATCATTTTCCTAGTGATCTGAGCACATTCGATATGGAAATTACTGAGACCAGGTAAACATAGAAGCCCTTGATGGCATTTTAGACTACAACCACCCAGCTGCCTTTTTTAGTTGATAACACTGCCACAGTATTTGCACTATTCCTTATAGGAAGCATGACGGGCTACTGCAGCGATCTCTCTCTACTCCCACTTAAATGCAGAAAGGAGTTTCCTAAGTGTTTTAGTGAAGAAACGCAGATGACAGTGTTTTGCTGGCATCCAGCCCCAGGTCTGTAGCAGATGCAATCCCAACAGTAGTACAGCAACCCAGTGTTTGCAGGAGAACCAAGTTGTGGTAATGTTAAGGGGAAAACCCTGAAAGGACTGGTGAGAATTGTATCAGGACCAGTGACTGAGGGAGCAGAGCTGCTCCGAGTGATACAAGTTGACAATTCAGGGTACTTATGGGGCAGATTTGCCATTGCTGCTCAAGGTTTGCACAGCGGTAAATGTGCTTTTTCCCCCCATCTATGCCTGTTAAAGTGAGTCAGCTCTTTCCTTTCACATGGAGACTTTGCAACACTTATTCACCCCTTTGTCACTTATCAGCATGGCACCTCCGCACCTCACAGTCTTTGATGAAGGTAGCTGCACAACTCCCGTGAGGGAGGGCAGTGCAATTCCCACCATTTCACAGAGCAGGAACTGCAGCCCAGAGAGGCTAAGTGACTAGCCTAAAGGCACACAGGGAGTGCGTGACACAGCAGGGAAGTGAACCTGTATCAGGCCACGGCTAGCATCCTAACCACCAGACCATCCAGCCTCTTTAAGATTGCAAGACTAGACTACTCTAATATTCTCTGTATGGGGACTATCGTGTGTGACTGCTTGGAAGATGAAGCTTGTGCAGAAATACAGCAGCCTGCTCGTTAGGGGGTGCCTTTACCAATGTGCTTTGTAAGCTGCACTGTCTGCCTAGCAGGTTCCAAGTGCAGATCAAAATGTCCATTTGGATCTCCAAAGCACTCTCAGGGATAGGCGCCGACTCCGTGGGTGCTCCGGGGCTGGAGCACCCATGGGGAAAAATAGGTGGGTGCAGAGCAGCTCCCCGCCCCCCCACCCAGTTCACTTCTGCCTCCTCCCCTGAGCACACCACGTGCCCGCTTTTCGCCCCTAGCTCCCAGCGCTTCCCACTGCGAAACAGCTGTTTCGCAAGGCTGGGAGGGAGGGGGAAGGATGGGGGAACGTGGCGTGCTTGGGGAAGAGGTGGGGCCAGGACGGGGATTTGGGGAAGGGGTCCAATAGGGGCAGGGAGGGGGCGGAGTTGGGGCGGGGACTTTGGGGAAGGGATGGGGTGGAGAAAGGGTGGAGCTGGGGCAGGGGGGCGAGCACTCACCAGCGCCAGGGAAATTTGGCACCTATGCTCTCAGGTTTGGAGCCTGGAAGACCACCTCTCCCTGTGCCAAACTGCTGGTTGTAAGCAGTGGAGCTCCCGGGGCAGGGGCAGCATGTTCTTTAGGAATACACTAGCCTCTGGAATTCCCTTCCCCCTGCTCCACCAGAGCCTGGATTTTTGGCCTTCTGCATATACTGTAAGAGCTGTATTTTCCCCTAGCATTTGGAGAGAAGACTGATGGAAGGGGATGTTATTTTGCTTGTTGGCAGGCAGCCATAGCTGTAATTATCAGGGTAAGATGGGCAGCTCGTAAACAATTTATTATATGAGTTTCCATCTCATTTCTTGCTGTGACACATCAAAGGACACAGAGCCTGGGGCGAGCACTGAGTTATTATTATACACAGCAATGAATAAGCTGCATTCTATGTATTCCAGCTCCATTTTCCTTGCGCTCTGTCTCAGACAGTGTCCAGGGCCTTGGCAATGGAGCAGCATTCTGGGGGCAATTAGCTAGCTACCTCCAGATCATGGATTTTACTTGCACTAGCTGCGGTTTCTGCCAAGCCAGCAGAGCTCAGCCTGTGCTGGAGGCACTCAGCACCTCTCCGGATTTGGCTCTTTCAGACATCTTGGGGCTGAGCACCAGGAAAACCCTGGGTTAGGTTAGATGGGCTGAGTCCCAGTGTTTCTTTGAAAGAGTAAATCTGCTTTCCGGATTAAGGTATTCATTAGGGATGCGGGGTCACTGTGGCGAAGCCCCCCCCTCCTCCCGCCAGCACTGCAAGCCCTGTGGCGTGGCTGCCATACTGCACATTGCAGCACAGCTGGCTGCCAATGCGGCTCCTGGCCCTGCAGCATAGATCCCAGGAAGAGACAGCACAGAGTAGGGAGCTCAGGCTTCTGTGGGGCAACTCCAGATCATGTGCACACGCCCCTTTCTGCCTGTTCTCATGCTCTGCCAGATCCAGGAGGAGCAGGGGGCTTCGGAGTCTAGTGGTGGGTGCCAGGGAATGGGGAAGAGCCCCGAGCCTGGTGGATGCATGTGTGTATGCAGGCAATAGCGTGTGAGTGTGGCAGCATTCAGAGCTTGGGTGGGGGTTCAGACCTGAGGCGTGGTTGGGTGGGGGGTTCTCAGGATGGGGGAGATAGGTGTGGAGGGAGTAGGGTTGCCAGGCATCCGGTTTTCGACTGGAATGCCTGGTCGAAAAGGGACCCTGGCGGCTCTGGTCGGCACCGCCAACTGTGCCGTTAAAAGTCCGGTTGGTGGCGGGGGCCCGGGCCTAGGGCAGGCTCCCTGCCTGCCTGGCTCCGCGTGGCTACCGGAAGCGGCTGCCAGATCCTGGCGGCCCCTAGGCACCTGGGCGGCCAGGGAGGATCCGCATGCAGCCCCCACCCCGAGTGCCAGCTCCGCAGCTCCCATTGGCCGGGAACCACGACCAATCGGAGCTGCGGGGCTGGCGCCGCAGGGACCCTGCATCCCAGACCCCCTCCTGCACCCCAAACTCCTGCCCCGGCCCAGAGTCCCCTCCTGCACCCAAACTCCCTCCCGGAGCCCACACCCCACACCCCCCCAAACCCCAACCGTCTGCTCCAGCCCTGAGCCCCCTCCTGCACTCCATACCCTTCATCCCTGCTCCCACCCCAGAGCCCTCACCCCCCACACCTCAACCTCCTGCCCCAGCCCGGAGCCCCCTCCTGCACCCCAAACCCCTCATCCCTGGCCCCACCCAATCAGCCACCATCCTCGTCACTTCACACACCCCCTGCAGCCTCCAGGCCATAGTTCAGCCATCCCAGACTCACCTCTGCTTCTCTTAGGGTTCTTCACCCTCCCCAAGCCTAGGAGGGCTGCAGTGGGGGTCCCCTCTCCTACTTCCCAGGCTAAGAGTGGCAGCCCTGGCCCCCATGGGACTGGGGCTGACATCAGGAGCACCAGCCGACTGGGGCTGGCTGACGGAGGCTCTCCTCGCAGCATGGCGGGGCTGCTACTGTCAGCCCGCCCCACGAAGAGGGGCTCCCGCTGTCAGCCCTGGGTGGCTGTGGCTCCCATTGTCATCTCCAGGGCTGACTGCCAGCGGGAGCCCTCGGCCACTCAGGGCGAACTGACAGCAGCTGAAAAAAAAAATCCTGATATTTGAGAGTTCTCTCATGAATACAGGAGTTGGGCTTAATTTTACTTAGAAACCGTGTCCCTCGGAATTAATTCGGGAGAGCTGGCATGTCTGCACTTGTAAATGAGGGGGGGGGGGGGAC